TATATATATATATATATATATATATATATATATATATATATATGGATTTTTTTCTTTTTTCTTTAATCTCTTCTTCCTTCACCTTCTTCGAACGGATTCGCCTCGTTTATCCGCCTCTCCCTCGTCTTCTTTTAACCTTACCTTAATAGTCTGCGCACTTTCTCCGTTGGCAGCAGCACCTCCGGTGCCAGGTTCCCTCGCGTACGCGCCTCGTACGCGCCTCTATGAGGCTACGACGCATTTCGATGTCGACATTGAGGCGAATACCGGAGCGGCGGTGTTCGATAGGGAGGAGGGAGGACGGAGGGGGGGGGGGCAATTTCTCTGTTCACCAACAGGTAGGATCTTCGCTCGAAATAATTTTTTCGGATAATTTTCTCTCTCTCTCTCTCTTGATATGTATCGATGAAACGATACACACGAAGCTGGTAACTTCGATCGATCTGGATCTATTATTATATATCTTACGTCGTTCAATTTGATTCGTAAACGAGAAATTTGTATCTCGAAGAGGTATATTTGGCGGTATATATAACGAAGGAGGGTAGAGGTATGACTCGAAGAGGAGGAAGCGGTACGGCGTTGCTGGCGTTCAAGTCTCCGATTTCCACGCTCTCGCGTGGAATTTCCGTTCGATTTTTTTCCTTTTTTTTTTTTTTTATTCGCGAGATTCGCAATTTTTCGAACGAAAGTAATCCACGAAGATCCAATCTTCGGTCGTTATGTCCAAATAAAAGCTCGTCCCAAATAACCCACATTAGTTTGACTTGAAAAGCTAATCGCTCGACAGCTAATGAAGGTTCTAAATATAATCCCTGTTTCCATTCCGTTTCCATACCGCTATGATAGATAAAGATAACACCCTCATTTCGTTTATCTCTCGAAAATGGGTTTATTTAAATGCGAAAGTCGACGACATTCCTCGCTAATACGATCTAAATGGTCGGTTAGTTCCGCCAGGAAATATGATCGATAATTTCTCTAAAAAGAAGGGAAAACTTTGCCCTTCCTCTTCAAAAGTATCTTCGCGTTGTTTGGGGGGGGATCTGAAATATTGGCGAATTTCGTTGGTACGAGTGCGGCTCGTCGATGTGGGTCACTCCCCGTGATGGGGAGCCGCGATTCGCACGCGCCATTTTTCGTAACGAAAAGGAAAGCCATGGCTCGCGCGCCTAGCAAAATCCGACTGGTTTCGCGTAGGCCTCCTCTCCGTACGGGCGCAACTCGTAACGGTGCTTCGACCTACTTCCGTTTCCCCTACCGCGCCACGCTCGGATATAGTTTAGCGTCGCTCGTGTATAGTAGACTCGAGCAAGTGCGAGTCCCTGCTCGAGTCACGTGATCACCATTTACGCGGTCGAAAAGAGTTCCACCCTCTTTCGTCCCCTCTCATTTTTTTTCGAAGAAATAATAATTCGATTCCTTCGTGATTCGTCTCCTCTCGCTCCGCGATTTTTCGAATATTAAAATCGGGACGAGGGGTGGCGTAACACGGTTCATAACACGGAATGAATAATAGGCGTGGGTATAGCGGAGCTCGATCGAGGGAGAGGAGCAAGAGAGGGCGCGTGGTCACGCTCGAAGAGGAAATCGATGGACGGAGCGGCGGCCAAGTTGCGGTGCGTGTCGTGTCGCGGCGCTCCGTGCAAAAGTGTGTCACCGCGGGGACCAATGGCTCGCACGCGCCATTTTTCACAACGAAAAGGAAAGCCATCTGGACAAAAATCTAGCCGATTTGCGTAGGCTCCGACCCGTGCACCGGGTCTGTAACGGTGCTCCGGCCTACTTCGGGCCCCCACTATAACGCGAGCGCGGTATAGTTTCGGCGTATAGTCGCACGAACGGTCGCGGATGCGGCTCCTTTTCGCTCGCGCCTCGGACGCACGCCAATTCCTTCGTTTCCCGCTAGATTGCAACCCCGCCCCGCCTCGGCCGATAAAAAAGAATATCCCTTTACCGCCCGATTCGCGAGGTAATTTTTCTCCTTACGATATATATGTAACGCGATTACGAAAAGAATCTCTCGAATCGATCCAACACCGTGAATATCGAGTAAGTAACAACGCGCGAGACAACGTGCAACAACACGGATGCACAGATGCGCGCATCGTATTGCTTCGTATCTTTGGTAAATCGATAAAGGCGAATCGGTCGGATACCCGGTGATCCCATTGATAAGTAGCTCACTGAGACATTGTCGTAGGCTCGAAAAAGTGGGACCGCCGTTCCCCGGCTGCTGATCGACGTTTCGAGGGGCAAGAGGAGTGGGGAGGGGGGGAGGGGGGAGGGGCGCTCGCGAGTCCACGCCATTGGGCTAACGGTACACCGGTGAACACGTCACGACAGCCGCCCCTCCCCTCCTCTCGGTCCCACGAGCGGGGGACCTCCAACGCTCTCGTCTACCGCTCGTCGTCCGCGGCGGCGATCGACAAGGACGGGGCTCTAACCGACGACAAGGACGGATACGGCGTGATACGAGTACGAGTGCTCGAGCCGCGAGTGGGGGTCGGTCCCCTCGGGTGGAGGGGAGGAAGGAGAGGTGCGGTGGTACACGTCGGACGACGTATATACCATTTGCATGATTCCCATGACGTGATCCTACGGCCACGCGGATGTGTCAATCGAGGGAAAGAGAGAGAGAGAGAGAGAGAGATTCGCGAGCCAACGATCCTTCTCGATCGAACGGAAATAAAGAATCCGATGATCTGTTTTATCGGTTGGCTCTTCGATTTTCTTTTTTTTTTTTTTTTTTTTTTGTTAGCTTCGTCTTTTCGCGTCTTTTCCCAAACTTTGGAAATATGGATTCTGGTGAATAGGATCTAGGATTTCTCGATTGGATCCCTTTTGTTATTATTATTATCATCGTCGTTGGTATTTTCCCTCGAACGAACGTTTTTCTTCTTCTCTTCTCGTTCTTCGATGTTTCTTCGCCGTTCGATAGGGGATATAGCATTCGGCTATCGATGACGGTTCGAAAAATATATTTTTAAACGCGGCAATTTGGTTGGTCGAGTGTACCGAGCCGTGGCTGGCTAGCGTGCCACTAACCTAGTTAACAGGAGCAAGTCTTTCTTCTCGAGAGAAGTGGTATCTGCCTACTTAACTTCGCGATACACGCGCCACATGTATATATATATATATACATGTGTATATTTTACGCGCCCGTATTATTTCTACCCGCGCCTTCTTTATTAATAAAACGTATCCGTTTGAAAACACGATCGAGCGGAACGGGAAAAAACGTTTTCCCTCCGTGAGACGAAGAATGAAAATTGGCTGTTCCAGGTCCCCGCGGCGCCGTTGGCGGTTGCAGCACCCCCGGCAGTAGAGTGGATCCCTGGTGGAATCCTGGTTCCCTCTTCCCCTCGCCCCCTGGGCCCCCAAGGATCGACGAGGGGGCACCGGATAACAACGGTGGTAGCGCCGGTTTCCAGCTCTGTTCACCGCCGAGCCGTAACGCGAATAGTCCGCCGTCCCATCAACGCCACCAGCCGCCATCGTCCCACCTTCACCACCACCACCACCACCACCAGTCGAACGCGTGCAGGAACGCTACGTGCAACTACGCCATCTCCCCTAACTTGGCCCCTTCGTGCTCGACGCAGGGCCTCGGCCGCGCGGACACGCGAGCCGCCGATGCCGTCGTCGTAGCCTCGTACGGCGTCGCCTCGTCGTCCCCGGAGCCATCGTCGTCTTCCTCGTCCTCGTCGTCCTCATCGTCCTCCTCGTCGGCCGGCAATCTCATCCTCTCCGCCCTGCTCACCACCACCGCGGAGGGCCCCAACGAAGGGACGACGAGCGAACCCTTGAACGGAATCCTGTCGTCCCTGAACGCGCGGATCAAGACGGAGGAGTACCCGAAGATACGAGCGGAGGAACGAAGGGCGGGAACTTCGCCACCTTCAACGCTTCCCTGCTCACCTCGTTGCTGTCCACCTCGTCCCGGATCCAACGCCAGCGAAACGACACCGACGAGGACCACAACCACCACCACCACCACCACCACCACCACCACCACCTCGTGCCGAGGGCGTCGTGCGCCAAGCTCACGACCGAGGAGCATCACCATCATCGTCAGCAAAGGGCGACGAAGGTCGAGGAGGGGACGGGCAAGGTAGAATACCACCCCCCCCTCGCGGTGGTCGGCCAATCGTCGAGGGAGGCCGGGGAGGAGGAGGGGCTGGGTGCCACGTCGCCCTACGACATCGTATCCGAAGGGAGGTGCCAGGCGTCCTCGTCCGGGAAGGGCGGCGGCGAGGTGGCCGCTGTGTCGCCAACCCCGGACATCGTGATCGAGATGAAGTACGAGACCCAGTCGGGGCCCCCCGCGGCCCCCCCTCACCTCACCTCATCCGGGGTCGAGCCCCCGCACAGCAGCCAGGGGACGGGGATCGTGGTCGGCGGCTCCCCTGCCGAGGTGGTCGGGGTGGACAGCCTGCTCCTCTCCCCGTGGGGCGCGACCGGCCCGGACTTCCTCGAGCCGCCCGACGTGAAGCAAACGGCAGCTGGTCTGCAGGACGCGTGGGACACCCTCCTCCTCGGCTCGTCGGTCGGCGTCGCCTCCGCCCAGTCGTTGGCCGAGTTGAAGCCCCTTCCTCCCTTCACCGGGTACACAGGCCACCTGAGCATCAACGGCATACCCGGCCACCACTATCACACCATAGCCTCGTCCGCCCAGAGGCCCTCCTTACCCTCCTCCTCCCCCACCTCCTCCTCGAACCAGGAGTACTACGAGTCACCGGTCGTGTCCTCGAGCACGCCGTGCCCCCAGGGCAGCCAGAAGCAGCAGCAGCAGCAACAGCAGCAGCAGCAGCAGCAGCAACACCAGCAACAACACCAGCAACAACAGCAGCAGCAGCACCATCATCAACACCATCAGCAACAACAATTGCCGCAATCGTCGCAGCCGGTCGACTACGACATCGAGGACATCGCGGAGATAATCGGGTCGGCGATAGCCGACACGACGGTGCCGGGCGGCGGGAACGGGCCGGGGTCGGAGCACGACCCCGAGGCGTCCCGGGACTGGATCGACATAGCCGACTGGATCGACACGGCGTGCTCCCCCAAGGCGCAGGAGACCACGTCCCCGAGCCCGTACTCGCAGATATACGGGACGGCGACACCCTCGACCCAGGCCCAGCAGCACGGGTCCACGTTGCAGAGCTTGCTGACGCACGGTTACGCGCCGTTGATCAACGCCCGGCTCCAGTCGGCCAACGCCGCCCTCCAGAACACGTCCTGCGGGGAGACCCCCTCCTCGACCAGCCCCTATCCACCGGTCAGCCCGCCGGGCAGGGTGTCCACCTCGTGCAGCCCCGACCACCTCCTGCACTCGTCGTTCGCCGCGCCCTCCCACCCAAGGAAGAGGTCGAGGCCCGCCCCCGCCTCCCAGAACCCGTCCAAGAAGAGCCCGGCCGCGGGCGCGACCGCGCTACCCTACGGGACCGAGTCGGGCCTGATCGGGGGCAAGGAGAAACCCGTGCACAGATGCTCCATTTGCAACAGGGGTTTCCTGAACAAGAGCAACATTAAGGTGCACCTGAGAACGCACACGGGCGAGAAACCGTTCAGGTGCGAGGTGTGCGGGAAAGCGTTCAGGCAGAAGGCACACTTGATCAAGCATCAACAGATTCACAAGAGGATCGGCAGGGACTAAGATGCCCTCCTCTTCTCTCGTTCCCCTCACTCCTCCTCCTCTCGTCTCCCTTGTCGGGGAGGACAAGTAGTGATGGCGAGTAGCATGGTGTGTATTATTAACTTGCGCGTTATTAACTTATTGTACGAGCCGTGCTCGCCTCGTTGCGCGAGGGGGAGCGAACGAATTTTACGATGCCGTCGAGCAGTTACGTGGGGAGAAAAAGAGAGAAAGAAGAAGGAAAAGGAAGAGAAGGAGGAGGAAAGAAAAAAAAAAGTGTAACGCGAGACGACGCGCGAAGAAGATAAGACGGTCGACCGTGTGCGTGCGCGCGCGTGTGTGTGTGAGGGACGGGGCAGGGGGGCGGGGAGGGAAGGAGGTGCGATATCGAAGAGACGCGATCTCGAGTAATGAAACGGGGATATGAAGCCTTCCGCGTATGGGGGACCTCGAGCAACGGTTGTTCCGCGCGATCCGGCCCGATTTCGATGGATGTACGACGTCCCCGAGTGACGGAAGAAGTGAGATGATCTCTCGTGCTGTGTTATACATTGACGACGTTCAAAGTGAGTGGAAACCCACTGTAGCGCGGTGTGTACATATATATACGTATATAAATAACAGAGCACACGTACGCGGGTACGTGCGTATATATAATATATATATATATACATATTATATACGTAGAACATACGTAGAATGAAGCGAGAACGATAAAATTTCTATGATTTTCTGTCTCTCTGAATAATTCTATGGATAATGCATATCTTGAACGTAGAGCATATATATATACATATATTATACGTATGTAAGTCGAGGAATTTGCTCCTGGAACGACGGTGGGGCAAAGCGAAAAAAAAAAAGAAAAAAAAAAAAAAAAAAAAGAAAAAAAAAAAATTACTCGTTCGATCTCTCTCATCTCTTTATCTTACTCTTGCTCACTTTTCATAGTCCTGTTTCCCCATCCCCCCTCCTCCTCTCCCCGTCTTAACGTAATCAATTAGATTTACATTCCTTCCAGAGTTTCCTTCCTTCCTTCCCTAATAACAATAACAACCTTCATTAAAAAAAATATTTAAATATCATAATTTCGTCATATAGTATAAATCGTTCCTCGTATCTCGACCGTTCCGCGCAATATAACTATCTCCGGTTATTCGATGTCGCCTCGTGTTCGAATAAATGAATATTGAAATGAAAAACTTAACTCGATAAGCAAGCATATACCTCGGACCGTTCAAATTTTCGTTCCATCTTTGGTTCCAGAGGCAAATTCCTAAGCTCCGCACAGAGATACATATGTATACATATACATATAGATAGGTGTAATATAATAACAGACGTAAGAGGAAGTGACGAAAACTACGCGAGGCGCGGCCACGCGTATGGCCTCGCTACGGATGTACCTAAGCTCTTCCAAATACGTTTTAATTTACTTACTTCTTCTCCTTCCTTTTTTTTTTTTTTTTTTTTTAAATTAAGTAAATTCTCTCGTTTTATTTATATCGCTTTTATATTATATTACTTTCACACAATTGTCCCGCGTTCTTTCGTTTTATTTATTTTCGCTCTCTTTCTTTCTCTCTCTCTTTCTCCGTCGGCTTATCTTTACGAGATAGTCGATCGTCTTTCGTCGCTTTTTATTTAATTTTTACACCATTCCTTCTTCTCCTTCGTTCCATAAGTCTTTCCCTTCTGTTCTTGATGTACCATATGCAACATGTGTACGACGACAGTTTTAGGATTGTTTAAGGACATTCTTTTCAAGGCTGTTCAAAGATACTCACGTTACGCTACTC